TTCATTGCATGCCGACAATCCTCGTGTGAATCTAACGCTAGCAACCCCTGTTGATCCCGCACATGCGCTAACAGTGTTTTAGCGAACGCCGATGTAGGACAACCAACTGTAGGAAAGCCTGGTTTGTGGCCAAACCACTCGCAAGAACCCCGTGGTTCGTAGTTTCCCAAAAACTCGCTGTCGTTTTCGCTCCACGCATCCGCGCATTTGAAATGTAAGAACCAGTGGCGCATTATGTCTCACATGTTTATTATGCGTTAGCTCGGTGTCACAAAAGCAAAATTTCTCGCCCGCACCATTAACCAAGCACGCCGTTAGCGCGGCCTTGGTGATCCTGGGCGTTTTCCACAAATTGACCCTGCAGAGAGAAAGTAGGTCTGCCACACTCGTCTCCCCCAGCTGCTCCTCGAACAGCCCAGCAGCACCACAATGCGACTGAAAGCCTGTCCGCCGCAGACGCCTGCGCCCTGCGGGAAAACTCAAAAACTGACTAATTGTATGAACCAGCGTGTGTTAGACTGTCACGTTCGCAACGAGACTGCGCCGTGCCGCCACGATGTGATTATATACCTCAAAATGCTGCCTCGCAAAATACAATATCGACCGCGACATGTTCCTTGCACTAAACATTTCAACTGGTTTGCAGGCCATAGCCGTGAACTCGAAACGACGCAACCTAGAACATTCAAGCACGACCGACACTTTCCCATGGTGAGAACAGAGACGAAAAGCAAACAACATCCCGCACACAATTGGCGTTACCAATACGGCTTGCGAGGGAACCCATCACCAGACATTGACGCAACTTGCCAAAGACAATCGCGGGCACTGGCCACAATCCCCCGCACCCACGGCGCCGACATCTATCGCTGTGAGGCCAAGAAACTCCATGCCACGGCCTGGTGCAACAAATTACGAATGGGCAAGCCGTGTTGTGGTATATGAGCTCTGCCTGTCCATCCAAAAAGATGTGACTGCGATCAACAGCATGGCGCGTGTTGAAAGCGAGTTTCGCAGCCGCGAAAGAATGCTGAGCGATGAATCGAGGCGCGATTCGAAATCAAAACCCCACCATTCCTATGGACGAGTTTGTATACCAGTTCTCATCGTTTCTCTTGCTACACCCTCCTTTCACTGTTCGGAGATGGGTTTACCCCTCTCCCCACCCCCTACCCTGGGTCTGGACGGGGGGGGGAAGGGCGATGTGTCAGACGTGGCACTTTCTCGACACCATGGGGGGTTGCGCAGGGGGTGGTCCCTCAGCGCGGCCGCTATACACGACGGTCGTCCAGGGCATGGCCCTCTTGGGCTCATCATGCCCAACATGGCCCACACCTGGCTCCCGAAGCGCCGCGATGGCCTCCAAGACGGCTCATGCTGGCCTCTGCCGCATCCGACTCGGCCTCCGCCTCGTCCAGGTCGCCCCACCAGTCCGACTTAGGCTTCTTTTGAGGACGCGCCGAGCTCCGAGCCGCGCGCCCCGTCCAGCTTGGCCTCTGCCTCGGGCTTGCAATTCTGAAGGGAAACTGGAACACACAAAGAAATACACACAAATAAAAGGATCCCCCATATTTTCCCATATTTTCTGGGTTTTTGTCTTCCCCCCCACTTCCCATAGTTTCCCATATTTTCTGGGGAATCGACGATTAATTGTGTCTGTGTGTGTGTGTGTTTTTCCCCTCCTGATATTCGCACTGGGATCCAGGGGTGCTGATGCTGGGAGAGCCGAGCTGCTTGTGGTGATGATGACGACGACGATGGGGATGAGTGGGATGATGGTGTTGGCAATGGCGTTGAGCATGTTGATGAGTGTGACACGTGTGAGCAGGAGCAGGAGTATGGTGATGAGGTATGATGGAATCGATGACGAAGACTATGAGCAGTAGGAGGGCACGTTGCGGACGCACCGCGAGAAACCCTGGCAATAAGCCACATCCTGAAAACCCGAGCGCGAGACGCACACGGGGGGAACGCAGCAGCTTCCCCAGCGGCCGCTGGAAGTCACCGCGCAGCGCGCGGAGCGAAGAAACCCAGGGTACCTGACAACCAGCAGATGGCGGACGCCAACCCGTTCACTTCCGCATCCCGCCGCGTACATCCAGCCAGGACGGGGCCTGGCGGGCTGGCGTCAGCACTCCGAAGGTCTATCTGGTACGAGATGTGCATCCGCGCGCTGGTGTGCTCCACCCCGGGAATCAGGTAGCTGCTCGTCTTCCTGCACTCGCCGTCGTCCTCGGGGCGGGCAGAAACAGTCAGCATCGATTCGGGGAACTGGATCGGATCGGGATGCCCATCGAATCGGACCGCATTGGCTCGGCGCCGGACTCGACGCGAACCGAATCGGCGGCGCCAGGATGCATACCTGCGCCATGCAAGCATCGGGCCGTATCGGAACGCCCGATGATCGGGGGGGGGGGCACACAGGTGGGGTGGGGGCACAGGTGGGGTTGCAAGGAAGATCGCTCCGAACGGCCCCTGGAAGAAGGAAGCGCGCGACACGGGAGCATCCAGCTGGGCCCGCTCCCCAGCCCCACCTTGGGAGAGCCCTGCCTCTACGACCCCCCCGAGAAGATCAGGATCGAATCGAGTCGGGCCGGCCAGAGCCGACACCGAATCGGCTCGATCGGATCGGAGTGGGCCCTCTGTTGAGCAAGGACCGAACGTTCCAGGCATTCCTGATAGTCCTGCCACGAAGAGCTCCTAGAACCCCCAAAGACGCTCCAAGAACAAAGAAGCCGTGCTCTGAGAACATCCGCCCGACGTGATAGGACCAGGCAGTCCTGGCCAGAAATGCGCTGAGAGCATGTCGCGCAGAGCACAACGATAACAACGATAACTACGATCACAACGATGCCAACGATCACAACGATAACAACGATCACACCGATAACAACGATAACGATAACGATAACAACGATAACGATAACAACGATCACAACGATAACAACGATCACAACGATAACGATAACAGCGATAACAACGATAACAACGATAACAGCGGCTCTTAGACTATCCCTTGGTGGGCCTACCCGGCGAGCCAGGACGCGCCGCCGCTGCTCGACTCTTCTGGCCGTTGTTTAGAGGGAGCTGCTGGGAGCCAGGGGGCGACAAATTCTCCAAACTCGTTGTGCGTGAAGGGGCGGCATGGGAGCCGCGCCAGGGCAATGTCGGGGCTAGCCAGGCAGGCAGTGACCCCCGCGAAGCCCCAGTAGGCCCCTGGGTTCCTGGAAGCCGACGACGGCCAATGTTCACCGAAAACGGCCAAACACGCCCTGCCTCGATCGTCGACGGCCGTGGGAAAAAAACATGTCAGCCAGGGGAAAAAGGAGGAGGAGGAGAAGGGGGAAGAAAGGGAGGAGGAGGAGGAGGAGGAGGAGGAGGAGGAGGAGGAGGAGAAGACTACGACGACGTCGACGACGACGACGAACACCGACGACGACGACGACAAACGGACACCGACGACCACGGACGACCACGACCACGGGCGAACGACGCGACGGACACCGACAACGACGACGGACACCGATGACCACAGACGGACACCGATGATTACAGACGACCACGACCGCGGACGACGACAATGACGCCGGACGACGACGACGACGGACGACGACGACGGCGACGACGACAACGGGCGACGACGACAATGACGACGACGACGGACGACGACGACGGACGACGACGTCGGATGATGACGACGGCGAAGACGACAACGGCGACGACGAATTCGAAGAGGGGCGACGACGACGATGATGGACGACGACGACGACGACCACGACGACGGACGAAGACGACGACGACGGGAGACGACGGCGAGCGACGACGAACGGGCGACGACGGGAGACGACGGACGA